CCGCCGTCCGCGAGGGGCGCTGGTTCAACGGACCCGGGCGGGCGCGCGCGAACGTTTTCGAACATGCCTGTTGTTGTAACAGCACGAATAGCGCAATAAATAATCACGGATTGAGATGATATTGTTGTTACGCAGCGGCGGTCCGGGAAATCTTTTCGTGTGTAAATGAGCCATTTAATAAAAAAAAAAAAAAAACGTCAAAAACGTGATTTCCCGAGAGCCGCACTTGGTTAACATACAGAAAAAAAAAAAAAAAAAACCGCGCACACGCATACCGCTGTACCAAAAACGATTGGTACAATATTTTACTAGGCGGTTCCGCCGGGAATCGGTATGCGCGCAAAACATAACGTAATACGTCTGAAATTCGGGAAAACTTTGTTTCATCAATACATTACCGTCGTTATTGTCAACACGCAAATACGATACACTAGCTGACCCGCAAACGTTGCTAGATAATAGTGTAAATAATAGTAATAACAATAATAGTTTGCTTGTCCGTAACAGCCAAATTGTCATCCACGTCACCCGGGTAACCCGTGAATAAACAAAAATAAATAAACGAACAAATAGATGTTCGTACCGAAAAAAAAAAACCGTGTTTTACCTACGTAAGGGATGAATTTTCAACAATTCTTTCTTAGCCGATGCTTACGCCATCAGAGCTATTTGTGTGTCGAATTTCAGCGCCCGTTCCGTCCAATAGTTCGGGCCGGGCGGTGACCAATCCAGTCAGTCAGGACGTGTCAATTTTATGTGTAGGAAAAATGATTTAATTAGACACAATCACGCGCAAAAAGTAAAAAAAAAAAAAAAAAACGCACCGCTGAACTAGTAGGATTTTTGACGCCGACTTTCCGCGTGCAGTTTATTCAAACCCGGACAGTGATATTTGGAGTGACTGCTCGTTGCGTGTCCTATGTATTATTGATTCGTGTTAGTAATAATTGGCGCATTTCGATGAAAGCGCCGAGGTGGTGGCGCACTGGTAAATAGGCGTAAATAGACTTTTGGCCGCTAAAATTACGATCACGTCAAAAACCCACGGGCGAGGCCGGATTAAGCCCAACCGTAGCCCTTGGCGTGTTAAATTTGTCGATGCTCCATTGGAGAGTCACCTAAATGATACACGTACCTGTCCTGCCTGTATCGTAACATAACCTGTAATATTATCTTTTATAACTGATAATCCGAACTTGTCTGAACGAGACTGTTTATAATGTTGTGGCGCGAGTGATTAAAATCCAAAATGATTACAACACTTAAACCGTTTTAATACGCTCGATTACGGGACACTACCGTGTATCACTAGAAACGAAATAGCTACGGTAGCCACCTGCCGTTTCCTAGCCCCACACGCGTGTCCGACTCGCCTACACGTAAATCCGGGCTCGTCCGCGCGGGGGCTATACCGCCTCCGCAATCCCCTTTGCGCGGTACTCACGACGAGCGGCTACACGTTTCGTTTACAAATGTGTTTATTTGTGATTGGTTTTCTAAAAAAAAAAAAAAAAAAAAAAATAATGGTTTCGTGATAAAGTTATTTCGGTTTGAAGGGATTTATACGTTTCGCGGCACAAAACCGCGCTCGTACACAATGTTATGGAGGCGTATTGTATAGGTACACGCGTATGTAAATTCGAATACATCACACGTGCGCGCATCATACATGCAGTGCAATCGATTGGACTTTGTTTTGTTGGCGGTCGTACACAAACCACGCGGCGACGTCGACGGTTCATGGATTTATTGGCCGGCAAATCTAACGACAGCGCGTCTTATCGAAACGCATACCCTTCCATGAAATATGCTTCTCGTGTCCTTATAATTCGTAATGTAATACGCGCGTGCGCGGATGAAAAAAAAAAAAAAAAATCGCAACGGTTAAATGCGCGGGTACGTCCGCGAGTCTCTTGTACGTCTTTCGACGTCTTTGTTCCGTTTGCGCGTCCATTTCGGAAACGTATGTATTTATGGACGACAATGTTTTACAAACGTAACGAACCGGCGGAAACGTAGATACAAACGGGCGGGCGGGTGTGTGTGTGGGGGGCGGCGGCGGTGAGGAGGGAAATAATTGCGCGTTAACCGAGAACCGGCGTTCATTTAGCGTGGTGCGTACAATATACGGGCGTTATGCAGGATGGTTCTTGTTTAATATTTATCGAAAACCTGCAGCGGCCATACGTACGAGTAGTCTGAGCGAAACGCATGTTATCCGTACGTACACTGCGCTTAAAAACTGTTCATTGCGGAGGGGGGCAGGAGGGGGGGGGGGGGGGGGGGTGGTGGCTGTGGGAGGCTTGACACGCGATCGTCAATCGCTTCCCCCGTCGTATCAAACACCAGATTGAAATGTAAAGAATTTTTATGCAAATGGTAAAATAATGGTGAATGGTGAGGGGAGTCCGGACCTGAGGACGCCTTGTTCCACATGCATTCCATAGAAACCTTATTCTTATAATTCATGTAAAACATCAACTATCGAAAAGCAATCGGTACAACACGTGCAGCATTTGCGTGTTTAGTTGATTTTTGTGGGTTTTATCAGCGCCGATAATGGTATGCGTGTGTTCTGCGATTTAGTCACTGTCGGTACGGTTCGTATTTGTTGTTTAAAACGTTTTCGATAATGTTTTACACGGAAAATTTAAAAATTTCAGATCATAATCGAGGCGTGAAATGTATTGTTTTCGCAATGCTGTGTTATTGTCATTATTTTTGTCAATAAAAGATCGGTACGGTTATTCCGCTCAAGCGGTAATTCTTTGGCCTTTGCAATGGCGCTCACTGGCGAAAATTCAGGCGAGAGGAGAAACCTCAATTTCTGTTTGAAATCAAAAGCATAACCATTGATTTTTTGGAATTAAAAATAACGGTTTACATTATTATAAACCGGATTCATAAAATATTAAACTCTTATTAAACAAAAATTGTAATTTTCTATCGTTTTTTTCGAGTTCTACTTTATTGTTTTTGGGTTCTATTTTACTTTTAAAAAGTACAACCTGACACGGTGTGAATACGTGTGTTCGGAACCTGAGTGTTTTTTTTTTTTTTTTTTAAATTAAACAACACATTTACTTAAGTAAGTAGGTACTGTTTATTAAAATAAAAAACACATCAGTATATAAATCACCAACAAGTAACGAGTATACCTACCTAATAACTGATTTTTAATAGAACAAATTTGAATTCACCAACTGCAGTATTATTTAAAACCAATAATAAGTGTTAGGTTGCCGCGATTATAAAATCGACGTCGTGAAAAAACAAAAAAACGTATTGATCTTAACACGGATAATTACGAATTACGATTTTCGAAACTTCTTTTAAACGAGTTTTTTTCAGGGTTAAAAAAACATTGTTCGAAACGTTTAAAATATAAAATAAAAATTTTAAACGATTTTTTTTTTTTTTATCGACCCCGATCAAGTGATGTATTTTTAATGCGTCTCGCGTCGAAAGACCGTCCGTCACCGCGGCCGTAATACGAAAAATCGTGTACAAATCTCGGCAACGATTGCCAATGGATTTTTATGCGAATAATTCATTCATTCCGCAGCGAATTCTCCGCACACGCATATGAACACGATTCGCACACGTATATCATGCAATAACAATAAAACTATACGATTGTTTTACACGTTTATTTTATTTTTATATACACGGAAACCTCGTTACGACCGTGTTGGCCGGCGTGTGTGCGCGTGCGTGTGACAGCGCGCACGTGCCCGTGTATATTATGCGCATGCGTGAACGATGGGTTATCAATTATCGTTCTGCGTCGGACGGCCACAGCGGTTTCAGCGGAGATTACATTTTTTAAAATAATTACAAAACAACGTTTTACGCATGGCGACACGACGATCGGCCGTTGTCGTACGGATCGCGGGCGCGGGACGCGGAAAGCTACGATATAGCCGGCCGTGTTGTACGGGCGATTTTCTGGCCTTTCGCAGTCCAAAAGACTTCGACTCGGAACGGCAACGCAGCAAACGACGGGGTTATACGGGACGGAAGGTCAACGAAAGGGACCGGTCGTGGTGGGTTTCGTCCCGTATTTTACCGGCTGTCGTGCGTAGTTTATTGTTTTTTGAGTGCGTTCGGAAACCGGGCGAATCGCGCACTCGCGTAACGAGCTTTTCCGGCTTGTTTTTTTTTTTTTTTCCGCCCTCCGGTACTGCAGTGCGCTCGGGCAAATCGTTACGCGTACGCGGCGATGACGCACGACAACTATTGTACAATTGTACACGGTGCGCGGTTCTTGTTTTTTTTGTTTTCCACCAAACGTAAAACCGTCTCGCGTTATCTATGGCGTTTTAATTTCGAGTAAAAACATGCGATAACATATGTCATTACTGTTGTACAAGAAAGAAAAAAACAGCATTTGTCCAGAACATTTTTATTGATATTTTGGAATTCTACACGCGTACCCGGTGTAACGGGCCGTATAGTAATAATGATGATATTATCGCGCAGAGCCGTCGTCGACTTGTTAAACATTGATTCAACGCACAACTCGATACCCCGACAAGGCGCTACAGAAAAAATGTCAAACTGTTCCATTCGTATGCATACGTGTGCATATTAATATTATGTCGCGCGCACTCGTTTCTTTACGTACGTTTACTGTAGGTAAAATATTACACACGCCTGTGTCTACACGCCGTTGGCGGTTATGTCCCGTGGTCTCTGAAGGAAATAGGCGAATTTAATGTCCACCGGGGGTCACGGGGCTTCCGTCGTACTCTTCGGCAATGTATTTAGGTTCTCATAAAATTACCGCAAGTAGGCGCCGATACAAAGTGATAAAAACCCCAAGCGGCCCGGGTCCACCAACCGTTCCCTCCAGACACAATCGTTATGGCTATACGCGTGCGCGTATAACCGAAAATTAGCCGTGCTTCAGCATTTGAATACGGATTTGAAATTATGTAGTAATCCGTTTAAAATTAACTATGTAACTATATATTATTATTGCAATTATTATTGATCTGTTACTCGGCTACAGACTCGTTTTGGTCCAGTAAAAACCCTCGGAGATTTTGTTTGTACATCGTCTTTTCCTTCGCCTTTATGTCAATTACATCCACATACACCCGTCGTTTCCAGATCATTCGCAATCGCATCCAACGGCCTTTTTTGTCGGTATTTATCTCCCCATTTTTTGCGATGTTCTCCTTATTGCTCCCGATTTCTCTCTCCTCATTGTCCAGACCTGCCGGAACCATTTCAATATCCTATCTTTTCTAGTCATCTTGCAATATCCACGATTCACTCGAGCATATTCATCTCTTCTGCATTCGTTCTCTGATTTTTCTGCCTACCGCACGACACTCCGTACAACAGTATAGTAGGTGTCGCCGCGGTCATGTAGAAATCACCTTTGAGTCTTATTAAAACTCGTCCTGTTTATAAACAAATGACAATAACAATGGCATTTTCCGTTCACCATACTGTTCCCAAATTTGATCGTATTTATTTCCCGAGTCCGACACACGCGACGGACTCGTGTGACCCTTTTACTAGGTAAAGTGTCCTCTGTATTGTTGTGGTCGAGCTGCAGTGCATATAATATCATAGTTTCAACGTTCCGTGTTGTACAGCGACAACAGCGGTGAATACACGCGAATAATCCGATTTGCCGGGTTTATAACATCAGGTCTCTCCGTCCTCTCCATTAACATTGAGGAAAATAACGAATGGACCGGGGCCGCGTCGCGTACAACGGCGATGCGCGGGTACCGTAAAAAGTTTTGTACGGACGCGCGCGCGTAGGTATATATTAAAAAAAAAAAAAAAAAAAAAAACAACTCAAACAACAACAATAATAATAAAACAACAACAGCGATGGGGGGAAAAAAAAAAAATAAGTAAGTAAGTATATACATAACGTATTTATTATACGCGCGAGCATCCATGGGAGGTCCGTTTTTATGCGGTCCCGACCCGGCGGAAACTGGGCGCATTAGCTGGTGACACGTCCGCGTCACGACGTTCTTGCCGTCGGCCGGCCGGGCATAAATCACCGATCGCGCGCGTGTATATCACGCGCCGGCGATCTAAACCGCCTCTATGGAACATGTGCGCGGCGACGGCGCACAGAGAAAACGCGGGACACCGCGGGTTCTCGACGAACGCGGTATAATATTATCATTATTATTATTATCATTATTATTATTATTATTATTATTATCATCGTCACCGTGCGGGCGACGGCGAAAGGCCAGATGGAAATTCGCTGAAAATCGAATCGGCGGCGCGTACATCTGAGCGGGGGGGGATGAGGGCGGGAGCGAGATTACGGAGAGATATTATAATCCACCCTTGTCCGTCGACCCCTTTTTTTTTTTTTTTTCAATTTTTTTTTTTATTTACAGCGTCTTTTAATTACGACGACTGACGATTTTTCATTTTTTTCCCGATTCAAATTCCCTCACTTTTTTTTCGTTTTTTTTTTTTTTTCGGACATTACGCGGTGTCATCGGCGCCCGAAGCGTTATGCTTCCGGAAAAAACCGCGCGTGATTAAAACCGAACCGCTGTAAATTACGAAGGAGACCATACCCAAAAAACCGCCTCAAACTATGTACTACGCAGATGTGCCCTAAAAATACTCGAATATGTTAAAAACGCACGAAATACGGATTTTAAAAATTTAACCCGTAAAGGGCGGTTAGCACAATTGTTTATGCATTTTTGATACGAAAATTTAATTTTTTTTTTTTGCTGTTGTTGATTTACGGGTTACTTGGCGATACGGACGCGCAGTCGTCTCGCGTTTCAGTCGACAAATCCGTTTCTCCGTGCATCTTCCTTTTTGTAACCGTTTGTGTACATGTTTACTCGGGGATTTTACCCGAACTCCTGGGGTCGCATAGTTTTTCATCATTTTCAAACGTATACGGTTCACCCACCGTATAAACCGCTGAACTAACAACGTCCATCAGTTATTACTAAATTTAACCGGCGCGCCCAGCACCGTAACACAAATACAACACGAGGATTAATTTTTCCGATTAATCTTTGAAAACAATTATAATTTCTCCTCGTGTTTTGTGCAGCACAGTCATAATAATGACCCAAACGATTGTTATCCCGGCCGTTCGACGAACATCACTAGTTGTTTTAAAGACAATCGTAAATTCTCGACCCGTGGTAACCTGGGCGTTTTCCGGACAGCTATTATATATTTGCCGTTCGTATTGACTATACCGGACCAATAGCGAACGCATATTGTAGTTTTTGAAATTAGTTTTTAGATGTATTTTATCGCTTGTACTCTTCTGAAATTTTCCGGAAAAAATAAAATATTAGATTCCGAGTGGGGGGTTACGTTTTACAATGATAATTTTTTTTTTTTTTTTATACTGTCCACAAAAATTCTACCGGCAATTCCGCTCTGAAATATCAAGTTCAGTACTTTTTCTGAAAGGGCATTTTCCCGGGGTGCAGCTTTAATAAAGTCATATTTTTGATTTTCTCAATAAATTAGAAAAACCGTAGGAAAAGCCGGAAAATGTACGAAATTTATTGTTTTCAAATCTTAAACATTACGGTCTTTCAAAACACGTATAACAGAATTCCGCTCAGAATGGTTTTTCATTAGCAGTGATTAATCGTTGCGTACAGATATACGTTAAATTCCCTTCTATATTTTATATACCTTCCCAACTTCTCACCTGTACAACAGTGGCCCACCCATCGTGCGAAGTATGTCCGCATTTTGTTTAATGAATTTTCCAAAACTATCGTCTCGAATCGAAACGAAGGAGTTCACAGCGGTTCTGGAAGAATAAAGTTTCTTTTTCTCTCTTAATTGGGTCATACATTTTGAGAAAATTAAAAAAAAAAAAAAAACTACGAACCGAAAAATAATCTATTATTTATTGAGTAACGATGTGTAATGTATAATTTTATTTTTTAAACCTAAAAATATATACCTGCGACTTTCTTAACAAACACCGTAGTACGTAATGGTTATAATATCGAATGCATCATTAATTATATTAACACCGAGTAAAACAAGTGTTGTAGTTAATAATTGTGTACTCGAAACTCGCAAAGTACAATAGTTATAAGTCCGTATAACGTTCATCTACCATTGCGGATTCGACTAAATATTTAGAATCTTACAGGCGGTGTACCAATGGTAGGCGACGACGGCGGTTCATTTTTTTATGTACGTCCTATCGGTTTTCAATCTCGGTATTTGTTCAACAATAATTTAAATTTAAACACATTTATCGTGTAGATTCTGCCGTTGTGCCGTCGTCTTTATGCCGCGTTTCGATGCAAACGATACATTTACGAGCCGCGTCTGTGACATCGATGACAACTGTGTCAGCTATTTCAATTGTATTGGTCGGTTAACCGAGAAGACCAATCGACGAGAACCGTCGATCTTACGGCGTGCGAAAAAACAACACGTTTAACCGAACTTTGCTCGGGATCGTATTTCGTCGTTGACGATAATGATTGCTAGTCGCGTACAGGTAAAAAAAAAAAAAAAAAAAAAAAAAACCGAACAACGTCGTGCGTCCTGCAGTGCGCGTCTTCGAAACTCCCCGCGTATACGACAGCGGCACACCCGTCGACGGCACCGGCTGTTTGTTGTTTCATCTATTTCAGTCGCGCGGAAAAACCGTCGGGTACCTGCGGGTGTACGGACGCGGTCTCTTCAAATAACGCGCGAAATTTACACCGTTTTCCGGACGGCGAGAACGCGCGCACGATTTATGCGACCGCGTGCGCGGCGTCGCGTCGTGCCGTTAATTACTTTTTCGGACGTACCCCGCGACATTTTACACCGCGCCGGGAAATCCGCCCGCACAATACGCGCACCGAAAACGCGACGTCGTCGTCGGCCGGCGCGTGCGAACCGTTTCGTTCGTTTTTTTTTTTTTGTTTTCTTTACGGCTGTACCCGCGAACCGCAGCCGTACGTCACGGTCGACGGATTAAACGACACCGCCGCGCCGCGCGCTATAAACGGCGTAGCCGTCGACTGACGACCGGGCGGCGGCGGCGGTGGCCGGCGGTGCGGTCGCGGCCGGCACCGGGCTACCACTCCGGGACAGGGGTTTCGGAACGCGCGCGCCCGCCCGAAACGCGCACCCCCGTCGACAGGCACTTAATACGGGTCCCTTTGACGCGTTTACGACGTCGCCGCCGCCGCCGGACGAATGGCTTCCAGCTGTGGGAACGCCTAACCCTTTTTTTTTTTTCTTCTTCTTCTTCTACTCCCCGGCGTTCTCGTGATCTCCTCCCCTCACGCCTTCCGGCGGAGGCGCACCGGCGTTCGTATCGGACCGGCCGGTCGCCGCGGCCGTCATTCGCGATGTTACAACAACGCGGTCGGTACTACGGGGCCGTGCGCGGGGCCCCGGGGCGGGTCGCTTGGTTTCCGACGGAAACCCGGCGTCCGTGTACGGGTCGGGCGCGTTACGTTTCATATCCGGCGGGGCGGGGCGTTTTTCAACAATTGCACGGCGCAAATACTCGGCTCGAACGGATGTTCGCTTTCCGCGTCGGTAACGCGCGACCGGGATTTTCCCGAGAATTCCCTTAAAGCCCATTTTTTTTTTGGGGGAGGTTGGAGGGTGGCTCGACCGTCGCCCGCGAGTCCCTTAAGGAGCCGCGCTTTCGCCGACGATTCGCGACGCTCTGTCAACGGCGCTACGATCGTCGACAACGGTCGACAAAACGTCAAACACCGAGTGTTAAACGATTCGACAAGAACGGAAGGTTCGGAAAAAAAAAAAAAAAAAAAAAGAAAACACCGATTTTCGGATTTTTAAACGTAGCAGCACGTTGGCCAGCCGAAATGTTCTTTTATACCGCCGCGGGGTCGCCTATTCAATCGAACAGACACTTGACAATCGAACACATTGATATTAGACACTCATTTCGGCGCACGTGATTTTTTCAACTACCGACGGCGGTGCGAATCGCGAGAGTTACCCGTTTCCGCCGAAAACGTACCATTCACTTTTCCGCCGATTCACGTTTCCGCGAAATCACAAAACCGGTCGATTCCCTTTTCCGTCAAAATCGCGTACCCCTTTCTCTCCTCCGCCAAATGAACGAATTCAATCTAATATTTCAATATTAGCGGATAATTGTATCCGTAAATCATTATTGTTGTACACGAACGTGTAACAATAATAACACGAACAAGTTTAAACTTGTAGAATATTAAAAAAAAAAAAAAAAAAGTGATTGTATTTTTGA